AGCTGAACACTTACGACCTCGACACGTACGCATAGTGACATAGTGACACACTGTGTGCATTCCTGGTGTTCTAAATGTTTTTGGTTTCACAGTAGCTTGCTAAAACAATGAGAAATAACATTCTCACAAAAACAGCTTTTATCCCTGCATGTATTAGTATGTAACGTAAATATGATTGATATAATGACCTTTCCACAATATTCTATATCTGTATTGTGTGAAAGGGGATCAAGTTCTGGTATTGTGATTTAAACATGTTCTCATTTCTTTTTTATTTCAATACTGTACACATGACATCTGGGGTGTAACGCTCAAATCCTGTGAGAAGGTTTCCAGTCTTTATCTTCTCCTAACAGATTTCTTCCTATTTTCCCATTTCGGAGGGTTTTTTTAGGGAGTTTTTGTTCTGTGGCAGGAAAAGTTTTGTGAGCGATGTCCAGATGTTCATGTTTGTGATATTTGATGTGGTAGATATCAGCTAGTGAATTTTTAGAGTAGTCATTCTAAATTGATTGCATAGTTTGTGATTATTATGTAATCAAAAGAGTGGAATGTAATGGGAAAATGATATGTGACCCTTTTAAATGCTTCATTTGTATAACCAGTTTATTAGTTGCAAGTGCTTAGGTCACAAAGGCCCTGACATACAAACTGATGTCTCCCACTTGGATTAGATGTTTCCAGCGTCATAGCTGTAGAGACTGAACAAAGTGTTTGTTATGTCTATGACCACCTTTGTTTAAGCATGTTGGGAGAGCAAGGACACGGTCAAAGAACTGATGTCTGGTTCACATGCGCAAGGTGTTCCCAGTACCCTGGCTGTAGAGACTCAACAAGATGGTTAACGGTTTCTGTTGACGCCACCGATATCTAAGTTTAGGTATAAGAACTGCCTCGATGTGTTGGGAAAGAAAAGGAGGTTCTTGACAGTCTACTGACCACGTAGCTGTTGTGACCCTTTTTCCCTTGCAAGGAAATAAACGGAGAAAAGACATACTTGACTCAGAGCCTTTGTTTCTTACTTAACGATTGTCTGTGCAAAATCTTCCATCACAAAGGTCACAGCAGCTATATAATAAATAGCTGCTGTGACCTTTGACAGATAATATGAGGACTTTGGAAATGTGAAAAAAGACGTTCATGCCCCGACAAAACGGTCCATGTTGAATTTTGTGGCTCCTCCATCTATGTTTTTTCAAATAAAGAAACAAAAACATAATTCAAGTAAGCAGATGGCTCCATCAGCTAAAAACAAAAGTACAACCATATTTTTTAGAGCAATGCAAATAAAGTTATACCTCTCCATAAAATAACTCACTCTGAATGGTCATTTGCATATTCCAGAAGGCCTCACTGACTCTCCACGTTCCACCTTCCGTGTTCTAACTTCCATGTTCATGTTCCGTTCTCCACAGCTTAAGAACACTCGCGGGTCAGGTAGTTAGCAGCCTTGGAACTGCACACAGGTTTTTTGCAGTGGGCGAACATTGAGAAAAGGCCACAATGACTCTGTGGCCCTAAAAGGACTCGAGGTAAGTGGGGAATCCAGACAGACGTCTGCATTAACTGGTGTTGGTAGTTTACTGGACTTGTCAGGTGGAGAAGTGGGTACCTGGAGATAAACCTCTGATTCACGCTGTTGGGACCTTTTTCTTACGGTGTCTTTTGTGTCTGAGCCGTGAAAGGATGAAATAAGACCATTTAACGCAGCCGGTGGCTTTAGTTCACTACAAATGTTCCCTTCTGTTTTTCCTCATGTGTAGATGACGATGAAAGCTCTTGGGACAAAACGTCCTCATCTAAAGGGCGCATCCCAAAGAAGAGGGTCCGACGCCGTCAGAGACTTGACACCGGCGTCAGAGCGCCATTGCTCGCCCGATACGAAAGGCCCGAAAGCTCCGGGCAGCGTGTCAGCGTGACTCGAGCAATGAGGAAAGACCAAGAGGAAAGGAAGCACAATCAGAGGAGGCGAGAAGAGGATTAGCGTTTTGTTTACGCTAATTGTAGCCTCGGCTATTTTGGTGTTCTCCTAGTCCGGTAGTAGTTAAGCGCTATTTGGTGACTCTCTGGTGGGTCTTGTGCTTCCTGTACTTCGGGTAAAGCTTTGTATATATATATATATATATATATATATATATATATATTGTTTGTATATATTAGTATGTATATAATGCACAAAGGTGCAGAAAGACATAGATAAGTGTGTGTTCCACTTCTTGTTAATGTACAGAGAATTGAAATACACAAACAAGGACACAAGTCAAACCTGAAAACAATAGTTTTATTCATATAGGAATCCATGTGTTTATTAGATGATTTATTGGTTCAACTTTTCATAATCAGAGATTGGACCAAAATATACTGGTGGGCTGTTCGATACATTTGCACTACAAGTTTTCAACAGCAGACGTCATCATAGAGTTTGAGATGCATTGAATGAATTAACCTTTTTACGATACGATTGGCTGGAAATCTTCACTGCTTCATAAAGCTTCATAAAGCTTCACTGCTTCATAAAGCTTCATAAAGCTTCACTGCTTCATCTGGCCGTCACTAGTAAACAGCAGAATGTGCACAGAGGAACTGAAGTCAGACAGAAAGAACTACAGAACAGGAGTTTGCTGGACAACACGAGGAGAGCTACTGAGGAGCAGGATGACCGGCCACGCCTCCTCACCTGCTTCCTCTAGACACGCCCCTTTTCTCTTCTGGTTGATGCTTCAGCAAAACCAGAGCTACAAGACAAAGAGTTTGGCGGCAAATCCGGTTGATGCGCGTGAATCAAACATCGTGGACGTGAACTTCCTCGCTCGCGAGGTTAATCTCTGCTCGCGCTCGAAGGTGTTGTTATTGACAGCGAGGGGGCGGAGCCAGTCACCGGCATCTCCACGTCTGATTGGTTCCACTTTTCGTCCTTGGATTGGCTGGATTTCGTCCCCGTTGACCGTTGTGAATCCCCAGAACTGATGGAGCAGGATGAACGGATCGGATTAACGGTACCTGAGGTGTGCAAGTGGTACATGAAGACAGACAATGTCCCTCTCTGTCTTCTTCACAAATGGCTGTGGAAACCCCTCACGTGAGATCTATGTCACTTCCGTTTTACTTTCACTATGAGTCATTGAGGATGACATTGAGGCCTACCTAGAGGTTTTTGAAAGGACTGCAGAGAGGGAACGTTGGCCTAGAGCACAATGGGCAGGAATTCTAGCCACTTTTTTAATTGGCGAAGCTCAAAAAGCCTGCCGGGACCTTTCCCCCGCTGACGTAAACCAGTATGGGGCATTGAAAGCTGCGATTTTGGCCCATTATGGACACAACCTGCAGACGAGGGCCCAACAGTTCCACGCCTGGGAGTATGACGCTACTGCCCCAGTGCGGCCGCAAATTGCAACGCTGATGCGATTGACACGCAGTTGGTTAACCTCGGGGGAGGGGCCTCCAGCGATTGACAGAGTTGCCATGGATCGCTGTATCAGAGCCTTACCCGGGGGTGCCAAACGACACGCTTCTCAAAGCTGCCCAGAGACAGTAGATGCCCTAGTGACGCTGTTGGAGAATCACCAGGTCACGGTACAGTTGGTGCAAAGCAGTAGGCCACCCAGCCAATCGGACCCCAGGAGAGACAGGCAGAGGCTGAGGAAGAGCGACACGGAGGCACTGGGCCCAAGCCCGAGGCCCCAAGGGGGTCCGCCCCAGCCATCCCTCCAGCGCCGCCCCTTTGTGAATCCGGACCGGCGAAAATGCTTTGCCTGTGGACAAGAGGGCCATATAGCGTGGAATTGTCCGGGAGAAGACATTCTGATGCCTACGGCGGGCTCCTCCGACTCCCCACGGAAGGCCGACAGCTATCTTACCACGTGCTGGGCTCATGAGGGCGCAAGGGCCCCAAAGCTGCCGGTCAGAATAGGGACCCAGGATGCTGAAGCCCTACTCGACTCCGGCAGTGCGGTCACCCTCCTACGGCCCGGGTTGACCTCTGGCCCCAGGGGACCCCCTATCCCAGTCTCCTGTGTCCACGGGGATTCACGAGAGTATCCCACGACCCACATTAAGGTCCAGACCACCAGGGGCACATTTGAGGTTGTTGCGGGCTTAGTGGAAAATCTGCCGGTACCAGTGCTGATTGGGCGGGACTGCCCGATATTCTGGCGTTTGTGGGCATGCAGGACTGCTGGCCACCGAAGAAACTGTCCCACCAAGAAACCTGGTAGGGACCAGAAAGTCAAGGTGGCACATGCCTGTGCAGCCCCATCTAGCCCAACCACGTCATCTGCAGAAGGGACAGAGGAGGAGGCCCTGGCCCCAGCGGAGGCCCCGGCCCCAGCGGAGGCCCCGACAAGGAGGGATCCCCGACTAACTGAAGGGTCTTCGAACGAGGCTTTTTCGGAGTTCCCACTGGCAGAAGAGGCATCTTCCACCAGGCCCGGGCAGTTTGGGACGGCCCAGTGGGAGGACCCTAACCTGGAACAAGCGCGACAGAACCTGGCTGTGGTCGAGGGAGAACCGGTGGCGGGGGTAAGTGCTAGCACCTTTCCATACTTTTCAATCAAGAATGGCCTCTTGTATAGGGTGGCAAAGCTGGAGGAACGGGTGGTGGAACAGTTGCTAGTCCCCAAGCGCTATATTAACAAAGTGTTGTACCTAGCCCACTCCCACCTGTTGGGAGCTCATTTGGGGGTGGAGAAAACCTACGACCGAGTCCGGGAGCGCTTCTACTGGCCGGGGGTGAAGAAGGCGGTCCAGGATTATTGCCAAATCTGCCCACAATGCCAGAAGACGGCGCCGAAGGCAAACTACCAGAATCCACTAATACCACTACCAATAATCGACATCCCATTCCAGAGGGTGGCCATGGATATAGTAGGCCCCTTGCCGAAGTCCAGTAGGGGGCACCGGTTTATCCTGGTTATCATGGATTATGCCACCCGGTACCCAGAGGCAGTCCCGTTACGCACCGCAAGTGCTAAAGCGGTGGCGAGAGAATTATTCTTTCTCTTTAGTAGAGTTGGGATTGCAAAGGAAGTCCTTACTGACCAGGGAACCTGTTTCATGTCTCGGGTGATGAAGGAGATGTGTAAACTGCTGAAGGTGAGCCAAATACGAACCTCTGTCTACCACCCACAGACGGACGGCCTGGTAGAACGTTTCAATAAAACCTTAAAACAAATGCTAAGGAAGGCTATTGACGTGGAGGGGAAAAACTGGGACCAACTAATCCCCTTTGTCTTGTTCTCAATCCGCGAAGTGCCCCAGGCGTCCACAGGGTTCTCACCATTTGAGCTGCTGTATGGACGGAGACCCAGGGGCATGCTGGACCTGGCCAAAGAAGCATGGGAGCAACAGCCATCAGCCCATCGCTCCGCCATAGAGTATGTCGACCAGATGCAGGACAGGATGGCTAAGGTATGGCCCCTGGTGCGGGAGCATATGCAACAAGCCCAACACGCCCAAGCCAGAATCTATAACCGTAGAGCTCAGCTACGGGAGTTCCAGCCGGGAGAGTTTGTCTTGGTCCTGATTCCAACGGTGGAATGCAAATTCCTGGCAAAGTGGCATGGACCCTATGAGGTGATCGAAAGGGTGGGGGAAGTGAATTATAAGGTAAGACAACCGGGAAGGAGGAAAATCTGCCAAATATATCACATTAATCTGTTGAAGAGATGGCACGCCCCTGACAGTGTTCCGATGGCCGCACTAACCACCGAAACCCAAGATCGTGTCCCCTCACAGGTACCTCTGGGCCCCCATCTGAGTCCGACCCACCGGCAAGACATGGTGGAACTAACTGGGCAGTTCAAAGATGTTTTTTCAGACATGCCGGGAAGGACCACGGTGATTAACCACGACATCATCACCGAACCTGGGAAAAAGGTGAGGCTCCGACCCTACCGCATACCAGAGGCAAAAAGGGAGACCATCAAAGAAGAGGTGAGAAGGATGTTGGAGATGGGCGTTATTGAGGAGTCACACAGTGCATGGTCCAGCCCGATTGTGTTGACTCCAAAACCCGACGGCAGCGAGATTCTGCAATGATTTTAGAAAATTGAACGAAATCTCAAAATTTGACGCTTACCCCATGCCGAGGGTTGATGAGTTAATAGAGCGATTAGGCCCAGCCCGGTTTGTGTCCACGCTCGACCTCACTAAAGGTTACTGGCAGGTTCCCCTCACAGAAACCGCCAAAGAGAAGACAGCGTTTGCTACCCCAGAAGGCCTGTACCACTATAGAGTCCTGCCCTTCGGAGTCCACGGAGCGCCAGCTACGTTCCAAAGAATGATGGACCAGGTGCTCCGACCTCATCGGGAGTATGCAGCGGCCTACCTAGATGATCAGGTCATACACAGCCCCGACTGGACCACCCATGTAGGCCACCTGAAAGCTGTCCTGGGAAGCCTACGGAGAGCTGGCCTGACCGCCAACCCAAAAAAGTGCCACCTTGGCCTGGAGGAGGCGGAATACCTCGGCTACACCATTGGGAGAGGCAGTGTGAGACCCCAATCCCGGAAAGTGGAGGCCATTGCCACCTGGCCTAAGCCAGCCACGAAGCGGCAAGTAAAAACGTTCCTCGGCCTGGTCGGCTATTATCAGTGCTTTATACCCCACTTTGCTACTATTGCAGCCCCTTTACACGAGATGACGAAAAACAGCCACCCACACCAGGTCCTCTGGAGCACCGAAGCTGAGGCAGCCTTTACAACCCTTCGGAGGGCCCTGTGCACCGAGCCAATTTTAAGCACCCCTAATTTTGAGGACACGTTCATCGTCCATACAGATGCCTCTGGATCAGGGCTTGGAGCCGTGCTGTCCCAGATCAGAGGAGGAGAAGAACACCCAGTGACCTATATCAGCCGTAAGTTGCTAAAGCATGAGATCAATTATTCAACGTTGGAGAAAGAATGTTTGGCAATAAAATGGGCCCTGACAAAGCTGCGGTATTACCTCCTGGGCAGAAAATTCACCCTGGTAACGGATCACGCACCACTGAGATGGATGTCTACAGCCAAAGACACTAATGCACGAGTTACACGGTGGTTCCTCGAACTGCAAAACTTTAATTTTTCTGTTGAGCACAGGTCGGGAAAAGCACATGGAAACGCAGACGCCTTGTCCAGGAGGGAAGAATGCTATCTCGTTGACGCTCCTAGCCCCAACCTGGAGCTGGTGGAGGGGGTGTGTGGCAAACCAGGGGGAGGAACAAAGCACTTGGGGCGGAGCCCCAAGCTCCGGTTGGGGGAGGTGATAAGGGGGATTTATTATCCTGTGCAGGTGCTCCAGCCACTGGGAACGTGGCACTGGTCACACCTGCGGCCTATCTGGTAATCAGAGCAGACCCCTAGATAAGGAGAGGAGAAGAGACCGGACGGGGGGCAGACGTCGGAGAGGAGGTAACCCCCAGGACTCACCGCTCTACTCTACTCTGCTCCTAACAGGACAAGGAAGCGGGCGCCACGTAGGAGGAGACGCCACATATTTCAGTTTGGAAGCCGGTTGGAAGAGCCGTAGTTTTTGACATTAAAAGGACCCTTTTTGTTTGCATTTGCTGTCTGAGTTTCTTATTTTACGCCCGAATCTGGCCTCACTCCCCCTGGGTTACCACAGTATGTTATAATATGAAAGTAGCATCTTCTAAATGCTGTTTTTTAGTGGATGGAGGGTTGGGTGGCATTGAGATTGAATTCAGGAGATCTTCTCTGATTGGCTGAGCCGACGCGATTAGCCAACAAGAAAGACATGAGAACTATGAACTACGGGGAGGGACACAGAGATTTGTCACACTCATGATGACACTGAAGTCGAAATGTTGAACTGCTCGTCGATCTGGACTCTGGCTCCACTCCTCTAAGGATCAGTAGTTTCTCCACCTCGACCTCAGACAGCCTCTCCGTCCTCCTGCTCAGGTCGCTCCAGCTCCGCTAGACGGAATCCAGCCCGAGAAGAGTCATCAGTCCAGGACTTCAGGGTGGTGGATTTGGAGGAGCACAGCATGCCACCAAGCCCAGAAGTCCATGTGTCTCTCCTCTAGCCTTCAGAATCAGCTTCCTCAGTATGAAGACCTCCCGATCAGTGAGACCTCCTCTCCCTGCACTGCTCATATGGGACCTGACAGACCTGGAGAAGGTCTCTTTGTCAGAGAAGTAGTCTTCTACTCAAACACCTCTTACGCCTTTAGAGGCTTTCAGAAAACTCTTTATTTTCTCCACACTGTTTCTCCAGAGTTCCTGCCAGCTCCGCATTCAGAGGACTCAATTTCAGCAGGAGAGTCGTCCTCCATGCAGGACCCAGAGTCCCCCTCCTCATAGTCAGATACGTCAGCACCTCCACCTTTTGTTGCAGCTTTCTTAGCTTTCGACTTTCCACCTTTTACCTCCTGCTTCCTTTTCAGCTGAGGGGCTTTAAGCTGCTCCTCACAGCCCTCCATGTCGTCTCCACTGGCCCTTCAGCACTCACCCGGTCCGCATCTGTCCCCACCGCCCCACCTCCTCAACCACACCCCCTTCCCTCACCTCCTCCACCCTCACCCCAGGGACCACGCTCGATGCCTCCTCCCTCGCCTTTTGGCCTCTTGTCTGTCCTCTGTGTCTCCCCTGCCCCTCTCAGTTCCTTACTGGTCCTTATAAGACCCGGTCTT